AGACACACACACAGACAGACTCTTTCTTTTATTATATGTAGAGATGAAAACGTGTGTGCTAAAATAACAGTGAGTACAATAAAGCCCATGAATATTTAATATTGTCGAAATTTTTGTCTCCTCTCACTTTTGTGGATTATCCTTGTGGCGTTCCAACCTTTTATCTAACAGCTATGTAGGAACCTCGTGAACACTTAAGCAAATAATCGCTTTAGTTCAGAAACAGATAGGTAAAACTCTTTACGTATCATTTCTCAAAATACGAATTTAACAGATGGTCCCTTTCTCAGGACGTACAGTAAAGCCTCCACTTAGGCTTGAACTCAAAGTATAAAACTTAACTAATGCTTAACTAAAAAGCTATATCCGAAGCTATCAAGATTTTTTAAGTAGTTGGCTCGTAAATATTAACTAAACTGGCAAAGCTATCAAGGGCCTGAAATAAGGCCGAGCGTAGTAATAGCTTAGAGAGAGTGCAGCCAAAAGGGGAACGCGTTCTAGTCAGAAACTCTAGCTCTCCAACGAAGTCAGTGGAACTTCGGCTTAAATATCGCTCTTACTCATTTGTATTAATCGCGATTCTAAAACCACTTTCTGGTAGGAAATTGTAAGCTGAAATTAGGAGTAGCCAACTAAACACAACTGTTAAAACTAAACACAACTGTTAAAAACTTAGGATAAACCTTACATCCTTTTAAAAATATGTTCTTGTGTACACATATATTTACAAACATGATAAATATGAATTTTAAAAAAAGACATACTTTCTGAGATTCGGACTTCGAGCCATATATCTGAAACTAATACAAGTTACTACTAAGGAAAACAATTTGCCATGAACTAAACGATTCATAAATATTTAAATTAATTAGAATTTTGCATTCATTTCTTTTCGTTTGCATTGGTACACAATACATAACGACCCTACACCTGATTTTTATAATACTCAAACTTTTCATCAGCCCTTTACAACCTGAACATAAGTTAGCTTATGTAAATTAGCATGAAAAGTTATTAACAATTACGTTAGATAAGATTACTTATTATAAACGTTACCCGTATACAATGGTTAATACAGAATGGCTCTTTCCAATGCCATTCCGTAAAGTAATAATATTACGTAAAAAATTTATTTTAATTTCATATACGTAAAAGGTTGAGAACGGTTAAATACCCCAAGAAACACGTGGCTGTCCAATTAAGGGGCTCCCAGCTCTGCAAGAGTAAATAATATACCCATGAATGAGGATTAATTAGTGCTCAAGTGTTAAATATAGGAGTTGGCATTCAATTTCGATTCGAAAATCCAACTGATTCCTTAATAATGTGTGGCATATTCAACAGCATCAGAAATGCCAAAAGCTTCAAATGCTGATCCTCTTTGATCCAAACGCGCAGGCGCAGAACCTTTGTGCCTACCTGTCGCCCACTTAACTGACATTGGTAACGTGGGAATCCGCAAATACATCACTTGTAGCGAAACGAGTTCAGACATGTTTATCGAACTGCAGATCCAGCTGACAGCCCTCCCTGACAGGACTGAATGTTGCACCAGGGAACCATCCTCTGCTTCTCCCATCACCCTCCACCAACCAATAAACGGACTTGCTGGACGCAGGAAGATAATTATTGGATAAAGGAGTAATTTGGGGAACTATCGGCACGTGTCGTCAAGGATCTTAGGGGGATTTCCCTGCGGGGAATAAATCTTGGTGGGGGAAGGAGAGGAACATTTAATCGTCTGAGATGGACTGGAGGTGACAGGACGACTGTCAGGTTTGAATGCCTCTAGAGGAATGCTGAGGGATTTTGTCTGCAGTTCGTTCAATAGCTCTTCAAAATATTCGCAATGGTTTGATGTCCTTTTTGTGCTAAGCTGCGTCATTTGTTATTTAGGGCTGTGAAAGCTAAAGAATTGTTAGATAAACCATCTACATCAAACATTATTCGATGTAATATCACTCTTGTTTTATTAGATCATTCCTAATTTATGAAATCCTTGTTTTTTTAAATACTTCAAGAAAAATTAATATATTTTAATTTAGATTATGCTGCTTCTTATTTCATAATATTGTAATTAGTAAGATATTATACTGAAGAGTATGAATATGAATCGATACTAATACGAATCGAATATGACTATATATCAAATACTCTTTTAGGCCACACAACTAGAATTTTTTTTAATAAGATTCACATCCCCTTACTTCTTTTTGTTTAACAAAAAAGATTTGTTTGTTTTTTATTTGCTTTGGAAAAAAAAGGATAAAAATTTATCACGTTCGCTGAAGTTTGAATGGATTTATTTGGTTCCTTTGACCGAATTTTTAGAAATGTTAGTACTTTGTTTTATTTATTAAAAATTATAGCAAATTCATCATTCACAGAAGAGTAGTTTCTCTTTATACCTACCTAAGCTATGAGGATGCCTTCGTGGAGGACTTTCTAAGAGTTGAGGCATGGCAGTGGCCAATATTGATGCAGAGATAATAGACGGAAAGGTGAGAAGAAAACTTGACTTTCAGTTTTTACTGCATCAGTATTGACTCCCAAACTTTTTTATTTTAGCTAATATCCTACCACGATCAAATAAATGTAATAACATGTGTCCTATTATATTGACCTACTTGGATAAGCACTTGCAGAAATTATGCATTCGCACAGAACAATAAAATGATTTGTTAAAGGCATTAATAAAAGAACTATATAGAAGTAATCAAGGGACATAATGGTTGAACTATCCTATATTCGCTTCAAATACCAAGAATTTCATTCTGAATTTTAATATGTTTCTATGTCTACCACTATTAAAGTAAAAAAAATTAAACTGCAGTATTGTTATTAAATTTTAAATTGACCACTCAGCATCCGTCTCTCATCTATGGCACCGCCTATTTGAACTTAGCTATATTCATCCTAGCCACTAATATGTAACTCTGAAATTCCCTCCAAGATTTCCAGCAGATTCTTCAAGCTGTTTTGGGGTACAATTTCTTTCTTTCAATGCTGTACCCATCTTCGGATCTACTCATGTAACTCATCACCTGCCCATGTGGAAACATCTCAGGTTGCACAATACTGCTGCCCTGTAGAAACCTGCATATCCGTTCGATCAAAAGAATTCTCTACAACAGATTCTGATCTGTTTCATACGCCGTGCCCACGTACAGGTGACTAAGTTTAAGTCATTGTATTACACTCGGCACAATTTTCCTTCGGGCTCACTGGGTTATGCTAGACGAGGAAAGATGCTGCTCGTCATCATTCTCTTGAAAATGCTTTTTAATCATAAGAAATAAAATATTACTACAATGAATTTCGGTCTATATGATATACTGCAGAAGTATAAAGTAAAGAAATATCGTTTCATCCTGGATCTTGAGTAACGTCAGTTTCCTGATGGAATCCTAATTCCGCACAATGATAAATTGCTAACGGAGTTAAAGACAGGACGGTAGTGCTGGCATTGCCTGCCTTAGAAACTTAAAAGAAAAGATATGGTTCCAGAGGTCTCGGCTCCTGACTGCATCCTCAACGCCGAGGACGAAACGAACACTGCGAAAATCTGCAAAATTTCATCAACGAAATCTTCTGGGCCTAACTACCCTACGATGAGCCACGAATGGAATCTAACTTTATGTAACTATTGTCCTATTCTGCAAAATGCCACCCTTTAATAGTATCCAACAAAAACCCAAAGCTTGGCACTCATGTGCCTATGGGGGGTGCAGTTCTCTAGTTAGTTAGTATATGCGGGCTATACCATTTTTGTCAATGACGGTGTCGTGGTGTCCCATATACTTGTTACTGTAACTGTAACTGTAGGTTGCTGAAAAATTTCGAGAAACGCAGATCGACGACAACCACTTCCTTTCCCTCGTCGCTGAGAGAATTGAAAGGAAAACTGAAAAATGCTTCATTTCCTTTCTAGGTCTTTCCTCTAAGGATGAAGGAAGAAACATCTGCAAAGAGAAGAATCTCCTTCGTCTGGCAGTCCGAATAAGAGCATATAGAACTATGATTTTCTATGTTAACGGTTCAGCCATGAATAACTTAACGTTTTAAAATACAAAGGTGCCTCAAATGCTTCATAAACTTCATGACTTATACCCGTGAACTAAAGAAAAAGATGAAACCTGCTAATGTTAAATTGCCATCAACCGCAGTCGGGTAAGTTATAAAAATGTCGAAAACGATAGAATATAATTAAGACTCAATAAACGCCGAAAATACTAAAACAACAAAAATCCGAGTTTTTTCAAAAATTTTACAGGACTAGTTTCGATGGTTTTACCGAACCACCATCCTCAGCTGCAAACCGCAAATGAACAGATAGGAAAAAATGTTAATAATAAGAAAGCTGGACAAAATAAGCATTGGCCATCTGTTGGTGAAACCAACTAAACATATTTCTTTAAAGCCGAGGCAAATTAATTGGAATAGGACGTTAACTAGAACGAAGACTTTATATGTGAACCACACATGTGAACCTGGTTCACCACATGGCGCCACTTTCTATTCTGTCCAGGCTTTCTTATCTTATCTAATCATTTTTCCTATCTTGTTCATTGCGGTTTTGCAGGAGGAGGGGGTCGGTAAAACCATCGAAACTAGTCCTGTGGAAATTTTGTAAATATAACGCTGATTTTTGTTGTTTGTCTTCTGAAACGATAGAATATCCCAGCGTCAGCAAAAGATAAATAAGTTTCAAGCCATTGATCTCCCGAAAAGTTGAAAAATCCATTAAAATCGAGGAATTTTCTCATCCCTACCTCCGAAACGATCCTCTGAAGACCTAGGCTCAAGGAAAGATATCTCTGTTTAAATTTCTACCATTAGCTCTTTCAAGGAACTCCACAGTCTTTCTGAGAACTGCTGAAAAACCTCCAGTGCAGCTGATAAATTGCCATTAGCATTCAACATAATTGGACACAATTTCAGAGGCAGGAATGTATCAGTAAAATTCTGCAGTCACCCATCACTGATAAATTTTTCAAGCTCTCTTTCAGGTCCGCTAAGTTGTATTGCTACCTGTGACTTCGCTGATTGGCGGGAAGTTTATTAGCCCCTCTTCCAAGTCTACATCTCGGACAAAGGGCTGACAACTGTCCAGATGTGGGCCTTGGAAGAAAAAATTTTTATACTCTTTCTGGATTTTCCTTACTTGAAATTTGTACTAAGGTTTTAGACGTGTAGTTTTCTTCTACCAGGTTTGTACGAAAGTGTTTGTAAAAGCATGAAAATAGTTCACTCTGAAATAAGTATCAAAGTATCATTGTTTTGTCCTCTTTTCTAATCTAATAATTATTCACGTAAAACACAGCAGCAAATTTTGAAACGTTTTATTAGAAAAAAGATGAAATCAAAAGGCTTGGTTGAATGAACATCTATAGCTGAAAAGCTATAACAGTAGTTTTCGCCGCAGCAATTAAATGTTTCAAATGTGGTTTAGAGATATTTAACAATTTCTTTGCTTAAAAATCAGCATTTTTAATAAAAATAGAGTATGTGTACAAATGTATGTACATGAGGCGTAAGTACTTGTATATGTACATTTAAAATTATATTCTTATTACTTTAAGTATTCCTAAACGCATAACTGCAAATACAATTCTGAAAATAAAATACATTGAAGAAGCATCTAAGTGAGTTCATATAACTCATCTCTTAAACAGTCGAGCCTTTTCACTTGCTCCCCATAATTATAAAATAACTTTTGCAGCTAACACTATTATAAACTGGCTTTTTATGTAATTATGTTTATGTGTGTTTAAATCCTTTCCTTGTGAGAATTACCTATAAGCGTCAAATACCATGTTCTCTAAATTTCCTGAGACATGATATCATATGTTTACAGCCGAAAACATCGCGGCAAAAACATCGCGAACGAAAACGTAGCAGAGAAAACAACGCAAGGCGAAAACGTCGTGCTACAAAACATCGTAGGAGAAAAATCGCAAGGAAAAACAATCGCAGGTTTAAAAACATCGTTTGAAACATCGTCGTCGAAAATATCTTGGTAAAAAAAAGTATCTATAATCTCGCATGACGATAACATCGCAACAGCTTTTCAGCTTTAATAACTGTAAATAGATATTCCCATAAAATTTGTGACGCAAGATGTAAGAAGGATAATTTTTAGTTCACTTTTTTATTAACTAATAATTTTTGCTGAAAAATAAGAAGGAAGCTAGCATAGAAATTAATGCACTTATAGATTATACTTTTATGAAAAATTACCAGTAAAATCTTATTAAAATATTTATTATGGTCTTTGTTAGTTAACTATGTCGGTTTAAAATTCTGTTCAGTGCTATAAGTTGCATTAATTTTCTATGATTAAGTTTCCTTCTCATTTTCTCAGCAAAAATTTAGTAGTTAATAAAAAATATGAAATTAAAATTATCCTTCTTTTTATCTTGCGCTCCCAAATCATTATGGGAATATCCATTTACAGTTATTACAGCCTGAAAAAAACATGTCTGCGATGTTATCGTCACGCGATGATTTACAGGTACTTTGCTTTTTACCCCGATATTTTCGACTACGATGTTTTGACGACGATACCACGATGTTTTAGGACTGCGATGTTTCTCTTTGCGATGTTTTCTCCCACGATGTTTTGAAGCGCCACGTTTTCGCCTTGCGTTGTTTTCTCTGCGACGTTTTCGTCCGCGATGTTTTTGCCGCGATGTTATCGGCGGACACCATATCATATACTATATCTTTGCTGGTGCACATGTAAAACATTTACGCTTCTTTTGAAAGTTAATTTTATACACTACGAAAATTTAGTTAGTTTCTTTCATGTAGAGATTGTTCTTTTTATTTTGATCTTGGGCAAACACAGTTAAATGCAAATCTTCTTGTTTATCATAGGCGTTATTGGAAAACAAAACAAAAAATGCTGTTTGTGAGTGTTTTCGAAATTTTTCTTTTATTTAATTTTCTAGTCTAGTTAAAACTTTTGATTCTTGAAGTTATAACCAGCCAATGAGGTAAACAAGAAACAATTTGTTTAGTCTGTCATCTGGTCTTTATGAATTAAAGAAATAAGTATTAGTCTGAAGTACGGAGATATATACCAGTCTAAAATTAAAATTAGGCAGAAAAGCAAACTTACATTTGCAAAGATTTTGAATAAAACTCAATCCATTTCGAGTAGAGTTAAACATAGATCCGCTGTTTTCAGGAGAAAAATAACTTTGCAAACATAGATGGAGTGATAAATATTTTATATGAAAATCATTGAGTGGAACTAAGAAAACAATAACGTACATTTTCCTCCGCAGATGGCGCTATGTTCGCTTCCGCTTTGTTTCGCGATTTGCTTACTGAGTGAAATGGCTTTCATTCCTCCCATTCCTGCAAAACAAATTTTGCTCCTAAAAGGATCTGACCACCCACCAGAATGACAAAATTTTATTCAATATTTGCACCACACTAAACTGTTATCTTAGCCTAATTTTCAATTAATCTGATTTGTTACATATTATCTGCTGAATTTATTCATTATCTTCAATAAAAACATGGTATCTGTTTTTGAACAAAATATGAACTTCACTTGAAGTTAAGAAAGAAAGTAGTTTCATGATTCATTTGCAATAACACCCACATATTTCGAGAGGGAAATGTAAATAAATGCACATATTTATTTAATTCTAGTAAATGCACATATTTATTTAATTCTAGTAAAATCTCTAGTCTCAGACTAGAGATTTTACTAGACCAAATTTCTGACTAGTCTAGTTTGTTTACTAGACCAAAAAAAAAAAACAAAGAAAATATTTTTTGTGAGGGAGATAAAGGAGCAATGAGACCAGAAGAATTAGAGTCGATTTTGAATTATGGCGCAATAAATATCGCTACTCTATATAATAATCAAACCTTTTCTTAATAGCTATAAAGCATTTGGCATTGGTTATATTAGTTATAGTTTACATCTAGTTTTCAGAGCGATTTCTTTAATCAAAATTTTCAGAACCCGAATTCTTTTACGTCATTACATTGGATCAAATATTTTATGCTTCTACAATTCTTTATTTATATTTTTAGGAATGGCAAACTGCCAGCAATAATTGGTATCCTTTTTCTGCTATCTGTCGATATGTTGAAGACTATCTCCAGAAATAAAGACTGGTAAGTTTCATTTCCCCCACTCTTACAGAGTCTATTGCGTCATATATACTATTGATTATTATAAAATAGAAAACAGTTATTAATAATTTTTAAGGGGAGGGAACATTACGCCAGGCATACTAAATTGAACAGATGCCACATTATTTCAGATATTGTGGTATATTGCTATTTTCAAATGTTGTGGTTAAAATATGTCTCTTATTTCGCAATATAATAAAAATCTAGCATCGGAATTACTTATTTATTACTTATACTAATTTTTTGTCCATTTACAGATGTTTTTAATTTTCTCATTGATTGAATATATAAATAAAGATTTTACATATATTACAATACATACGTTTTTAAAATGGCCGACAGTAGCCGTGCGGCTAAGACAGCTGAGCAATGCTAGTTTGACCAGTGTCAAATTCTAATCAACTGTGTAGCTGTATAGGAGCTTTCAAAGTTTTCCTTATGTGTAACATGAATAAGATCTAGTTTCATAAAGGAAATCCTGAGCGAAGGCATCTTTCTTCTTAAGCAGCCTCCGAACGGTTATCGTAAACAAACAAACCATTTGAACCCTTTCGGGCACGCTATCGGAATTTTGATTTAAAAAAAAAAAAAAAAAAAGTAGACAGTCTAATTAGGCCTAGAGGAGTACACAAGTAAAATTTTGTGAAGATAGCACTTATCGTTTTAATTTTGTGGATGTGCCCAAAGTGGCACACTGATTGAATAGAGGTTCGAAAAGAGTGCTGAAACGAGCATTCTTGTCATGAACCGACCAATGAGATGGGAGAAACAAAGAATAAGAATAGTTTTCCTAGATTATGGTGAACCCATCTGGGCACACCTAGGGTTCGCGTTTGATTTTATGCAATTTCAATAAAATTTAAAACTATATAGAATAAGGAGATTAGCGTACAGCCAAAAAAATATAGAATTTATTTCAAACAATTCCTTTTATACCCTAAAAAAATCGGAAGGGTTTTTGAAATGAGGTCTTAAAAACTAAACAGGGTGAAATATATGGACTGGTTTGTGAGTGGCCATCTACTGTAAAATAAAGAAGGTTCAGAGTTACCTATAGTAACCTATAAATCCTTTTTCATTCAATTTTTCTGCGCGTACAGAAGGAAATTTTTAGGTGTGTCCAGACCGGACACACTGTGCCGCAAAGGGTTAATTGATTTTCTTAAATGAACCCTTCCCCTTTATTCCCCGTCATATAAATAAATTTAATAATACGTTATACTCATTAGAATTTTAAAATGAAGTTTCATCATGCTACCTAAATGATGTTACACGTGTCCATGAATTTGTCAATTTCTCAAATAGGACTGCACCTTGTTTATATATTTTATTTCTTCATGAAAGCCTTTCATATTTTCCAGTAAAAAATGAAATGTCTAAGAAGATCAATCTAGTGCAGTGATTCTCAACCACTGTGCCGTGGCACTTTTGTGTGCCGCCAAATTTTTAAAGTGTGCAGCCAAATTTTAGAAATGTATATAGTAAAAATTATAATCGGTTTAATCCTAGTATACGATGCACATGAGAATTGGCGAAATTCGGTTTTTAAGACATTGATATGCGCGCCAATTGTGGTATCCAAGCCGATTTTGGCAGTAAAAATTATAATGGGCTTAATCCTAGTATACGGTACACATGAAAATTGGCGAAATTCGGTTTTTAAGACATTAATATGCCCGCCAATAGTGGTATCCAAGCCGATTTTGGTGCCGAAGACTTCTGCATTTGAATAAACTTTGAACGAAGAGGAAGAACTAATTTCGCTTTCTAATAATCGAGATTTAATTTTAAAATAGTCAGAAGAAGCAAATAATTCATTTTAGATTAACATTAGACGCGATTATCTCATGATGGCCAAAAAAAGCTTTAAAAATACAGTTTTCTGCATCTTATTTATGTGAATTCGGATTTTCAGTATTAACCAACATAAAAACGAAAAAAAAAAAAGATGGAGACTATTAAATGTAGAAGACGATATGAGAGTACCATCGTCATTTTTACAACCGAATATAAATGAAATTATAAAAGACATCAAGGTCAAATTTCTCATTTAAAGTATTCTTATTGTTGACTTGTATTAATCCCTTAATAACGTAATAAGACCCCGCTTAACGCTGTTTCGTTTGCGCTGTTTCGGCTTAGCGCTCTTTTATTTAACCCGGGGATTCCACAAATCGCTCGCAGCATCCGGGATTCCCCGAAATATTATGCTGCGATAGGTTTCAAATACAAATCCAAAGAGTGTACTTATTTTCTTGTTTGGTGCGTAGTAAAGACATATTTTGAAGGGGTAAATGTGGAAGATGTCGAGAAATAATTCAAGAACAGCGGTAGTCTTTCTATGATAGCTCAAATTAACTGAACGAGAAGAAAACAAAAATGTTGAAGCAGTGATTCAGAAGAAGAGCAAAAAACTTCGATGGCGTTTGTAAAAGGATTTGTCTACCATAACTGAAATAATGGATCAATTCATTTAAATGATCCGAATTTGACAGGAGCTCAAAAAGGCGTGGTGTTAGAGATGCTCTATCCGTTATGAAGACTTTTAAGAGAACAACGCAAAAAAAAGCAAACACATTAGATGCTTTTGTCACAAAAAGGCAGAACACGAAAAACGGCGGCTAATTAAATAGACTGACTTAGAATTTTTTTGTTTTTTTTTTTTTTTTTTTAAGAATATTCGTTTTGTTTTTATTTTTTTTTTTTTTTGCAAGAAATAATATGTGGTATTAATTGGGGCTTTAAGAAATAAATGTGGTTTTATTTTTATTAAAAAAAAACATACTTTTTTTTAAATACCATTTCCTAGCCATCTTCCCCTAACCCCAATATTTACATGTAAAGTAGCCTCGTTTAGAGCGTTTCGCATTAAGCTCTAATTTTGATGGAACGTATCCCCCGCGTTAAGCGGGGTCTTACTGTACTTCTGTTTTTGTAGTGCATATTTTATTTTATATTCAAATTTATTATCATAAACACACAGTGGTAAATAAACAACTTTTAAACTTATCTTTTTCTCTGTGTGCCGCCAAATTTTGAAATCGTGAAAATTACACAGTGGTAAATAAACAACTTTTAAATTTACCTTTTTCTCTGTGTGCCGCCAAATTTCGAAATCGTGAAAATTACACAGTGGTAAATAAACAACTTTTAAACTTAATTTTTTCTCTGTGTGCCGCCAAATTTTGAAATCGTGAAAATTACACAGTGGTAAATAAACAACTTTTAAACTTATCTTTTTCTCTGTGTGCCGCCAAATTTTGAAATCGTTAAAAGTGTACTGCGACAAAAATAAGGCTGAGAATCACTAATACAGTGTTTTGACTGAACTAAATTCAATTTAACTTCATATCTTAAATTCATGCAAATAACTATCATTTAGTTTCATTTTTAGAATTGAGATATTAGTATATATTAATTTTATAAATTAGTTTAAGGTTTGTTCCCCAGTTTAATATAAATTTCTTCATATTAATCTAGTAATATGGAATCCATACATAGTTAAATCATTATTACAAACTAACTTTTTTAAAGAATTATTCAAACCTTTCTTCATTCTGTCAGTCTGACATCTAGATAATATCACTCGCAGTGTTTACGTTTTATGCATCACCTTTCAGAACCCCAATAGGAAACGTAAAAAGTAAGACGCGTTATTCTAATGTAAGATATGGATTTGAAAGAGAGTGTCACTTTACAGAATATATCTAGCGCGAGTCTTGATTATTGAGACTGCAGTATATGCTTTGTACAACTTCAGTGAAGGTAAACAATTTTTTATACATTTCAATGTAATCCTTTTAGAAAACAAAAACTAAGATAGTATGTATTCTATCTAACCTTCAGAGCAGCTATCGATTCTTAAACAACAAGGTGCACTTACTTCGAAGTTGACAGAATCACTTCTTCACTGCCACCCTATACGAGGAATATGTGACGCGTTCTGTCGACGCAGCTGTTCCTTATTCCAACACGCAAGCCAAACCAGTAGTAACGCAATTGCGTGTTCCTTAATGTAATGACAACCACATATGCTCTGTTGCTTTAAGGGATATTTAAAAGATCGAGACTGATATTTAAAGACAAATCACTTATTAATGTCACATTTTCTCAACTCGGGGAATACTGAAAATCTTCCATATTGATCTTAGAAATGAAAATACGGATGATTTTTCAAAAGAACGGTCTTATATAATTTTCATTACATGACAATGTATCATTAGAATTAAATAATATGTATTGATTTTCTACTAGGTATGTAATTTGCATTTGGAGGGCACTGAAAATACGCTGCATGATAATTAATGACACAAACAGGGAATATTATGTAATTATATTTATATATTTTAGTGGAGACACATATATATACTGATCTTGGGAACAGAGGAAAGGAACAGGAAAGTCGGGCATTTGGTTAAATAAATCTGATATTAGCGTCTGAAAACTAAGAAGTATTCGAATATACTTCGAAATTATAGATTTCCGTAACCCTACTTTTGCTGAGCATCAGTTCTAATTAAACGGTTCATTTGTTTTATTATTGAGCATATAAGCATATTGAGCATGTAATAAGCATTATTGTGCATATAAGCATTGTTGAGCGTATAAGCATATTGGGCATATAAGCATGAACATAAGAGCATACAGGGGAATAAAGTATGTATTGAAACATAGAACACGTTTTTCTATCTTTTTAATTCTAGTATGTATTCTAATTTGCAATCATTACATGTAGAACACTCCTTATTCTCTTTTACAAAATACTTTAGCCAACGTGTATAAAACGAAGTACTAATCACCTTTTCTTGAAGAACTACATCGATACCATATAAAATTTAAAAATACATTTGAGCAGAAGCAACAGGAAAGTAAAGGAGAGATTACAACTTGTCCAAGATGAAGTTTTGGTTCGATGTGATTTAATTTCAGTTCACAATTTTCCCACTGTTTTTTTTTTAGTCCAAAGGGATTTGAATCCCGAA